GCAGAATAAATATTCTGCAGTAAGTGATAAACATGCCTAATTGCTTTTGAGCTTGAGGGAAATAAAGGGGGGGTGGGGGGGGTGGGGGGTGACAATTAATTATTCCCAAAAGGAAAGCAAATAAGAGTAAGAGACGCGGTGGAGTGCCTACGCAAATCCTAGTGAGCCTGACTTTAAGGAATCCAGGCTGCAAAGGATAGCTATCACAGACCAGAAGTTTATATACTACATTCTTCCTCATGTTTGAGATCAAGAAATAAATAAAGGGTAGATATCAAACATGGGATTTACATATCCAAACCTTTAGATGGCTAAAATTAAGAATCTAGGTTGACTTAGTTCCCAAATTCAAAACATGCCATTTCTAAAATCAAATCATTCTACCCTAACACCTGTCCAAGACACAGGGAATGAATCCCACACTAGAGATCACTCCCCCCCTCCAACTGACCACAGAAAATTATTAGATATCCAACTATGGGATAGCTAACATTAGCTGAAGTAAATCCACAGACCAAATCATTCTAAGCAGCAGGTTGAGAGAGAACACATACATCTCCTCTTTTAGAAACCTTCCCAAATGAGTCCACACACACAGCGCTTTGCATTCCGTGTATGACAACAGACGCAGCAGCTTGCAAAGATGAGGAACCAAAGTCCTAGTACAACACAGATGTCTTAGCAATCATCCATTGATCTTAACTAAGAATTCAACTGATCCAGAAACGAACTGCATGTTTACAACTTTAACTTAGATCTACTCCATTTATTAACTGCATGTAATTTATTAATTCTGTTTAGGTTGCAAGGCTGGGGGGTGGGGTGGGGGTGGAGAGGGTGAGGAATCAAGTTCAGTTCATAGACTTCATAGTCCATGATCTTTTAAAATAATGCTTGAATGAAAACATCATCCGATTCAAACTAGGAAGGCTGAAAAATGTCAAAATAACATTGCATAATAAGACAAACAGGATGGCATGCGCGAGGTGTTTTAAGTGATGGTAGCTAAACCATAGCATAGCTTTTCAAGAAAAAGGTTCAACTCACCATCTATGACAGCCTAAAGCTAGGCTGCAGAACACAATAAATTGCTCCCTTCTTGTTAGTGTTTCTCCTCTTGTCATTGTTACAAAGTAAGTAGCTGATTAGGAGCAGCCTACCTGCTCACATGATCTTCCAACTGGACGTGAAACATAGGGCAGTTTTTTAGTGACAGAGCAAATGCATGATGCATTATTAAGATGAACGATGTGTTGTGATTTGTCTGCAGCACTCTTGTATTGATTTTAATAAAATGAGAGTGTTTGGGGGTTTTTGAACCACTATGTTTCTTGTGAACTCAACAGAGCATACTATTTTCAAATAAAATTGAGGAAAAACTGATTTCAAACCCAGGGTTAGAACCACAGATATTTCATTTAACACAATGTACATTAATCTTTTTCCTTTAAAGTATATTTTCTGATAACAAAGCACAATAGATTATACATGTGCCACATTCCTTTGTCAGACATAAAAAAGGACTGCATTTTGCATAAAACTATCCACCTGATCTTTTCCTCGATTTCTTTCACACACATAAACCACACACAACCAATTAATCTAAAAAAAATACACCACCTTGTTTGCAAACTCAAAAAGAAGTGGAAACTAAAAGTTTCTCTCATTGGGTTGCCTGCTAGTATAAAATGTATGACTCCTACCAAGGAGGGGGGCGGGGAGAAGAATCTGGGTAGCATTCAGATGTAATTAACACCACAATCAGCACAACACACTGCCATAGAAAAGCATGCAGGTCACCACCATTGTAAAAAGGTAAAGTGATTTGACCAAAACCATCTTGTAAACTGTGGCAGGCCACAAGCCAAGAATTCATGATTCCCAGGCTTAAGCTCAAGTTCCAGCATCATGCTTCCACTCCACAAAATTCTTCTGTGGTCCCTATTGCCCAGCTAGACTTCAGTGCTGCCAATACTGCCCCAAACTGCCTACCGCAGAAGTCAGTATACAGATGCATGGCTCTTACACAGCACATCCACAGGCTACGTGACATAAATTAACAGATAATGAGAAAAGAAGGAAGCAGAGAACTACCATACAGGCAGAGCAGACATACATGCTCTTATTCCATTTCCAGCACCCAGGAAATGTGGGCAGAGAAATCATTATCCTTCGACATTTGCAGAAGCATGGATACGCAGCAGTGTAAAATGTGCAAGAGGGCAGGTACATGCTTGTGCATTCAAACTTTTCTATTCGTGGCCAATACTGGTACCAATGTTTCCTTTTCCAATACTATTCTTTCCGAACATGAGGCATGCATACTTTCAGTCTCCCTGAACTTCTCTTATCTGGAAATCTCTTTTCAGTCTGATATTTTTCTTGCCATGAAAATGTCTTTTTAAAAATACATACTTTAAAAAATGTTTCATGTGAAGGCATCTCATTCCTTGTTATTTCCAGGACACTTGGTAAAATATTACAAGACTGCAATTTATATGCTAAAAGAATTCCCAGATGGCATCTAATTAAACAATTCAATCAGAAAACAAATTAAAATGAAATATTAGTGTAACCCCATGTGTAAAATGCAGCAGTTAAAGCTCTCTGCTATGTGCAGAATATCCTATGGAATGCAATTCTATTACCCATGCTAATTTCATGCCTGTTCAGCACTGCAGAACATCTGAGCTACTGACACCTCTCTCCAACGTAAAAAAGAAGCAGTCCAAGGAAAAGTTTAATAGCAAACTACAGATAACCCTTATCAACTTGTCCAGAACCATTATGGCAGCTAGTTTACCCAATTTATGGCAATGAATTTCAAACTTCTACTTTCTTAAAGCTGACCTTCAAGCTCATCCCAAACCCAGTCAAGCATGCGATATTCCTTCCAATGACTTAAGTGAGTTTTGCACCATGACCCATCATTCATGGCATCACACAGTACTAAGCAAAATCTGATTAAAATAACATCTTACTCTGCAATCTCTGCCACAGGAATTCCTTGTGAACCCCATTATTATAATTTGGCAAGTAAAAGCACAGAAAATCCACTCAGGGATAACCATCTGTGATTTTTATTTTATTTATTTATCTTAAAGAGTAAGTGGTTTCAATAGAGTATGAGAATTTGTAAACTTTATTTTTTTTCCCCTATATATATTTTAGTACTTATTACTAAACTGCTCACTTTATTTTTAGAAGACTCTTCAACTTTTGTACAGATGTTATTTAAGGAAAATATCTTCTGGTTTGGTTTATGCATAGTCACAAAAAGTCACAACAAAAGTTTATGCTCTAATGCATGCTATACTCTCCCGTGATTTAAGCATACCTTTCTCTACTACTCTGAGAAGAACCACTGACTAAAGCAACGTGCCAATATGGATGTTGTTATTTTCCTTGAAAAGAAATAAGAGCATTGGAGCCTCACACCACCAAACTTGAAGGAGTTATGCCCCAACCTCATAAGGAAATTCAATTAATTTCATGTATCTAACTCTTAGCAATGCCTTTTGAAAAATCCCTGCCTTCATACATGCTTCCACAGTGCACTCCACTGGCACACAGACAAGAACATAATTCTTTTTTTAAATCCATTTCAGGAATCAAGAAAAACTTAAGGACTGATTAAGAGAACTTAAAACTTGCAGGAACTGCTCTAACTCATCCTCCGGGGGAAAAAAAAAAACACAAAAAACAACAACAAAAAAACTAGTTTACCCAAGATGACGAGACTATCTGAGAAATGAAGGCAAATACAAACTGAACGGCGGCATGTCATATTTTTAACAAAATTACTACAAGTCACAGTAAAATATAGGTGGACTTTAGTAGTACCACAGACTTATGAGCATTGACTAGCAGGGGAAACCCAATTCATATGCAATTAGCCACCCTGCCTGCTCCACCTTTCCTCATATTCCCAGAAGACCAGTTGGCCAAAGCTGCCTGGAAGACAGTGAGATTTTGTGCACTGCTGATAGGTATCCTTTACCAGATGGTTTGCTCTCCCTTTTCAGATTTAGGAGAGCCTACAATTGGGATCTGAACATTTGGTAGAGGTTATGCACAAGCAGAGAAAGGTGGTGGTCCCTCCAGATTTTGGAAGAGGTCTCACATACCCGCAGCCTCAGCCTCCTTACTCTCCAACCCACTTAGCAGACTGAGGGAAAGACTGTATGATGCCATGCAGATGATGAAAATGTAAAGGAAGACACTAAAGATCACCAAGCAAAGAAAAGTCATGTAAAATCCCAAACTCCCAGGAAATAATCATATTCTCCCCCACAGCTTGCCCACTTCAACCCTACTCCCAGAGCTCCCATTAAAAGGAGATGAAATTAAAAAGGCATTACACAAATGAGAGATTGCCCCAGTTATAATCCCAAGTGGCTCCCAGCACCACAGCAGCACTAAAGGAAGAGCTTGAGCACACCCGAACACACACAGACCCTCGGCACGGATTAGCAGAGTCAGGTTTACAGGGGGAGGAGAGCCAAAATTCCCCTCGCGGCAACCCATTTTGGAAAAGAAAAATAACAAATAGGAAACAATGACGATAACAGCAAGATGGGAAGCGGCTCCCCTGCCCTCCGCGCCCAGCCCTCCCCGCGGACCCCCTACTTTAGCAAGACACAGACAGGCACGGAGCTGAGGTCAGGTTTATTACAGCACCAGGCCGAGCCCAGCCCGGCGGCGCTGCCGCCGCTGCCCAGCGCC